GGTGTAATGAATACACTCGTTGTTACACTGGTTGGAATTCTGCTATTTTATCGTGTTTGCTAAACAAATGCGTTTGTAACTGCGACACTCTTACAATGGATTGCGGTGATATGATTGGGAGAGTGAAACTGGATTGCATACCGAGGTATGACACTTGTTTCGAACAAGGGGGAAAAACCCATCGAAGATGCCGCGTTGGAATGCATCAAAAAACCCACCGACCACAGTCTATATACTCCGTCATCAATTGATGTGGTAGACGGAACTATACAAGTTACGCTAAAGTCGGAACTAATGATTAACATTCTGCCATCCGATTCAAGTACAGACATAATGGTGTCTGGTAGTATTTTCAACATCACCTCCAACCAGATTATTATTATCGGCGCTAGACCTACAAACACTGTTTTGAAATGTATTTTCGGGTGTGCACCGCAACTCAGTTTATATACAAAATTCTGTATCAGGGTATTATGTGTACTGGTATCCTTGTGACTATTCAACTACCATCACCATGTTTACTGAGCTCAATGTGTACTGGTCTCGCGGGGGGTTCACTCTATATGCTGGTACTACCCCCATGTGCGTTCCAAATTTAGCGGGAAAGCGGGGTGCTTTTCACCTTCCAGAGCGGGCCCACGTGGGAGGCAAATAGGCCCTTTTTAAAATTCTAATGCTGATTACAGATTTTTGAATATGTTTCATGTTGTTATATATACACTACTGAAAGGTTACAGAATATACTGGTCAAGTTTTAACCAACGGCTGTTAATATTGTACGCTGATTACATATTTGTGATTATCTGTACTGTAAAATGACTAATTTTCACTGGGTTTAAATTTCACTGATTTACCATTGCAGACATATTCAGTGGGTTTTAAATTCACGGTTTTATCATTTAGACAATGTGTTCTATGCTAAATTTTACATATTCACTTGATTTTAATTTAGCTCATTTTCCAGTCAGCTAAATAAGCCAAATTAAAACCCAGTGAATAATTAACCCCTTTACAGTAATTAGCGAAACGAGCCATATACGTATCAAATATTATTATTTTCGGCAAATATTTTGTAAATATTGTGCGTATAAAACCCATTTTCACGGATTACAGTTTAATTTTTATTATGTGTGTTATTCCGTCACGGGTTTGTTTTGTTCCGTCGATTGCAATAAGCCGCGTACAGAAAGTCATTCCTCGACGTCATCCACACTTCTTTCGCGCCTCAGTCTCATTTGCATCCAGCTCCTGCTTTCTTTCTGGCTTTTCTGCCCTGTAGTCATGCCAAAGTCACCCGAAGCTGAACATAAAATTGCGCAATGATATCTGAGAGAATAAAAATCCTGGCAAAGTTGTGTGCATTGTGTATTAAACTATAAAATAAATGATCATATTCATAATCATTTCAATAGTTCTCATCTTTCTTCATCTATCAATGAATGACACCAACAGGAGTTGCATACATAGTAACTTGTTTGAGTTGATTACACTCCACTTGATTGCAAAAAAAAGCAGAGAATGCTCGCAATATGGGGTAGGATGTTCTTAATATGTGTGAAATGGGGGTGTTTTTTTCTTCAATATGTCAGCTCTAGGGGGTACTAAATTTACATTGCGTCACAATAGGGTATGGTTTGCCAATGTGCTGCCAGCCCTTGGGGCCTATTATTTTTTAGCAAGAACGCACATGGTGTAAGGTTTTAATATAGAGTGGACCCCCCCCCCCCCGGGACTGGTCTCCCTGTGACTATTCAACTAACATCTCAAGAGAATATATTTCATGTATTTGCCAGAAAATAAATAAAACATCACTGGCTTTCCCATAAGACCTATATATTTACTATACGATATTATACTTTTTCTTACAAATTGATATGTATTAAACATGTATATGAATAATACATTACCATGGCCACATTTGTTGCATGTTGTGTGTAATGAAATAATTGCATTCCATACTTGGTAAAGGACACTGAATGTGTGCATTTTTTTAATTGTTATTATTAACCAATATGTACAAGTCACAGATCACAGACAATCAATTTGTGTCAAAAGCACATATAAATGTATTACCATTCTAGGAAGTTTAACAAAACATTAAGTTAATGGACACTATATAACATCGACATATGTTTGTAGGAATCCTACACGTTTCTGAATAATTAGTAATATTTTAAAGTGATAAAATCATCACAGCACACCGTGTTTGATATAAATCCAATGAAATGTACATGTATACAACGATTATGAAATATATTATTTGTTTACAAAAACTGAACTCACTTAGCAACAAAATTTACAATAACGATTGTCACAATGAAAATTACACACACTGAATGAGCATTAAAAACCAAAATAATTGTATATAATATCTTACCTGATTTT